CCTAAGGGGCTTCCGAGCAAAGCAGAGGTCGCAGCCCAGGCTCCCCCCCCCCCCCCCCCCCCCCCCAGCGGAAAAGAACCACCCAAGGCGAAAAAAAAACCCCCCCCCCCCCCCCCCCACGACATCTCTGGCAGCACCAGGAGAGGTGGGGCCCATGGGGGGGGGCTTCCTCCTGGGGCCATCCGGGGGTCAGAGGAGCCGACTGCTCAGTCTGCTTCTGGCCGGGCTTCTCTCGTCTGGGTGGGGGTCTTGTGGCTTCCTTGGGATCCGGTTCGTTCCTCTGCAAGAAGCCAGGTGTCTTAAGGACTCTCAGCATTAAATCCTCCTGCCGGCCCCGGGTCCAGCTCCTTTTGGCCCAAGAGCTTCCCTGCCGGATGAAGGGGGGCGGCCGTCATCTGCTCCCGGCTGAGCGGGAGGGGCTGCCCGGGCCCCCTGCCTGCTTCTGGGGCAGCCCCTCCCCACTGACCCTCCCAGGCCTCCTCTGGCACCTTCCGGCCAGCCTGGCTCGGAGATCACCTGCAGGCGCTTTTTCCTGGGCAGCACAAATAGCAGCCAGAGCTGCAGTTTCTGAAGGGAGCCGTTGTTTTGAATTGAATTTATTGCACTTATATGCCGCCCTTTTCCCCAAAGGGGACTCAGGGTGGCTCACAATCCAAGTCAGGGAAGGGGGTACGGATAAGGGATTCCCAGGGTTTTCCCGGAAGGTCCCAGCAAAGACTCCCAAACAGCCGCTCCCCCCCTCCCCCAATGATCCAGGCACCGGGGGGGGGGGCTCGTTTCTCAGTGGAGGGGGGCTGTTGGAGCCCAAGGGTCTGAGCCATGGCAGGTGAGAAGGCCCCCCCTCCAGGGCAAAAGGCTCCGGCAGCCTTTTGGGTTGGTGGGGGGCAGAGGGGAACTGGATCCCTCCAGCTGACACCCCCCCACCACCTCTTCCTTGGTGCGCAGACTAAAATGTGACTGAAAAGTGCTGGCTTGGTGGGCTCTTTCTGGCGATGCCACTCGAGGGTGGGGGCACGCAGGCCCCTCCTTAGCCAGACGGACTCATCAGGAGGGAGGACGCAGCTGCTGATGAGGCCTAATTACGCTGGGTTTCTGGATGGTTTGCGTGAGGGATGAGGAGCCTGCGATGTGTCTCCTCCTCGGAGGGAAGGAGTCGCTGTTCTCTCTGGCAGCCTCTCTCCGGTGGCTCCTGGGATGCCACGTTTTGTGGACAGAGGGCGGGGCTGGCTCAGCTGAGACAGAGGCTCCTCCGTCGTCCCTTTGTAATAAATGGGGACTTGCTCCTTCGGGCGAGGGGAGGGCTGGGGCTGGTGGTCTTCTGCTGCCTTGCTAAGGAGCCCAGAGGCCTCATTGTCCATTAGTTTTGCAAGGCCAAAGGGAGCACAGAGTCAAACGGGGCGTCTCAGAGCTTAAACCGACTAGATGAACTAATTGCTTCCTGCAAAGGCTCACCTCCTTTGCTCCTCTTTGGGCAGCTACATTTCTCTCTTCGGCTGCTGGGGAAGGGCCCCCCCCCCGCCCCTGCTGCCTTGGCGGGCGCTACGAGTGGTAGGAGGCAGCGCCCTCTCTTCTGCGATGTGGAGGGCAGAAGCAGCCCTTGCTGAGCCCCCTAGCAACCCCGGATGGCCACTCCGGGACCACCACCTTCCTCTGCACTCTCTCTCCTCAGTTGCTCTGGATGGCTGGAGGCCTCCTTCGTCTGCCCACAAGCTTCCCTGGAATCCAGCAGTTGCCAGCACAGTAATGACCTCCCTTTAGACAGAGGAGGAGGAGAAGCCGTGTCAGTCTGCTCTGGGCCAGGCCCCAGGCAAGTGGGGAGCAGCCTTTGTGGAGCCGTTGGCTGGCTGGAAGGGCGGACGGGCAGCTGAGTTGGGAGGCTGGACAGAAGCAGGCCTGCCCTCCCCTCAATGGAGACAGGAGGCTCCTTGACTGGCCCGGCCTCTTGAAGCTGCCAAATCCTGGCTCCGGAGCTTCTCCTCTTACTCGGATACTGCAAAAGAGGGGATCCCCTCCGTGAAAGAGTCCGGTGCCACTTTCTTTTGTCCGTTGGCTGTTGGAGAGAGAAGGCTCCTTTGCCAATGGACGATGCCACCATTTAGGCTTGGGGGCTCTGTGAGGACTTGTGGGATACCTGTGGGTTCCTTGGCCGTTTACAGAGCAGAGGAGAAGATGCGCTGGCCGAAGGGGGCTGCCAGGGGCTGCTGGGCTCAGATCCATCTTGCTCCCAATTGTGCCCTTCCGGAGTACGGTTTTCATGCTGGCCGTTCTGTGGGTCCATTCAGTTGTCCTTGCCCGGAGGGACCGCTAAATGAGTTTGCCAAATGCCTTGTTGAAATTAAGATACATTACAGCATTCCCTCCCCCCCCCCCATCCACTGTGGGAATTGCCTGACCCAGAGGGGAGATGCAATGCGTGTGGCAGACTGGATGGTGAGCAAAGCCTGCTGAGCCATTGCTGCCCTCTTTAATTCCTCTCTTCCTCTCCTGCGGAGGAAGGCGAGCGCCTCTTCCCGGCGCCTGGCGTTTCGCCTGGGCTTCTGCAGTTCCCATCGATGAGCCTCGTAGGCTCAGCCGGCTTCTTTGGGACCCTGGGACGCTGGTCACCCAGGCTTGGACAGGAACGCAAATCCCACATAAGTCGGTCTCGCGTAGTCTCCCCTTCCGCCCGCTTCAGAATATCAAGTGTGCC